GTTCAACTTTCCCTGCAGCTGCAGGGTGGTATGGGATGTGGTACACCCACTTGATGCCACGCTCCTCTGCCCAGGTGGCAACTAAGCTGCTTTTGAAATGAGTTCCGTTATCTGATTCGATGCGCTCTGGGGTGCCATGTCGCCACAAGACTTACTTTTCAAGACCCAGGATGGTATTTCGGGCAGTAGTGTGAGGTACCGGATACGTCTCCAGCCATCCAGTGGTGGTTTCCACCATGGTAAGTACATAGCACTTGCCTTGGCAGGTTCGTGACAGTGTGATGTAATCAACTTGCCAGGCCTCCCCATACCTATACTTACTCCAACGTCCACCATACCATAGGGGCTTCAGTCTCTTAGCCTGTTTAATGGTAGCGCAGGTCTCACAGTCATGGATAACCTGGGAAATAATGTCCTTGGTTAAGTCCACCCCTCGGTCTCGTGCCCATCTATGGGTAGCATCTCTGCCCTGATGACCTGAGGCATCATGGGCCCACCGTGCTAGGAACAACTCTCCTTTGTGCTGCCAGTCCAGGTCCACCTGTGACACCTTGACTTGTGCAGTTCGGTCTACCTGTTCATTGTTGAGATGCTCCTCATTGGCTCGACCTTTAAGCACATGGGCATCTACGTGGCGGACTCTCACAATCAACTTCTCTGTCCGGGTGGCAATGTCTTGCCACGTATCAGAGGCCCAGATGGGTTTTCCCCTGCATTCCCAATTGACCTTCTTCCATCTGTCCAGCCATCCCCACAGAGCATTGGCCACCATCCACGAGTCGGTGTAGATGTAAAGCTTTGGCCACTTCTCCCGTTCAGCAATGTCCAATGCTAACTGGACAGCTTTGAGTTCTGCGAATTGGTTCGATTCTCCTCCCCTTCAGTAGCTTCTGAAACTTGTCGGGCGGGGCTCCATACAGTTGCTTTCCATTTGCACTTCATTCCTACAAGGCGACAAGAACCGTCAGTAAAGAGGGCGTAGTGCATTTCCTCTTTTGGTAGTTTATCGAATTCTGGGGCTTCCTCAGCCCATACCACATGCTCTTCTTCTTCTTCATCCGCTAGACCAAAACTCTCCCCTTCCGGTCAGTTTGTGATGACTTCTAGGATCCCAGGGCGATTCAGATTTCCAATACGGGCACGCTGTGTGAGCAGAGCGATCCACTTACTCCATGTAGCATCAGTGGCATGATGTGTGGTGGGCGCCTTTCCCTTAAACATCCAGTTCAACACTGGTAGTCGAGGTGCCAGGAGGAGCTGTTCTTCTGTGCCAATCACTTCGGAGGCAGCTTGTACTCCTTCATAAACCACTAGGATCTCCTTCTCTGTTGGGGTGTAGTTGGCTTCAGATCCCCTGTAGCTTCGGCTCCAGAACCCAAGTGGGTGGCCTCGAGTCTCACCAGGCACCTTTTGCCAGAGGCTCCAGGAGAGACCTTTATTCCCAACTGCAGAATAGAGCACATTTTTCACATCTGTCCCTGTCCTCACTGACCCAAGGGCTACAGTATGTGCAATCTCTCGTTTAATCTGTTCGAATGCCTGTTGCTGTTCAGGACCCCACTGAAAATCATTCTTTTTCCGAGTTACCAGATAGAGGGGACTTACAATTTGACTGTACTCCGGGATGTGCATCCTCCAGAAACCTATGGTACCCAGAAAAGCTTGCGTTTCCTTCTTGCTGGTTGGTGGGGCCATTGCTGTGATCTTATAGACGACGCCCATCTTACCATTTCACCCCCAGGAACTGAATGTGTCGGGCAGGTCCCTTAACTTTACTCTTCTTTATGGCAAAACCGGTTCTCAGGAGGATCTGGATGATTTTCTTCCCTTTCTCAGAATCCTCCTCTGCTGTGTCCCCCCATATGATGATGTCATCAATGTATTGCAGGTGTTCTGGAGCCTCACCCTTCTCTAAGGTGACCTGGATCAGTCCGTGACAGATGATGGGACTGTGTTTCCATCCCTGGGGCAGTTGGTTCCAAGTGTACTGCACGCCCCTCCAGGTGAAAGTGAACTGTGGCCTACACTCTGCTGCTAAGGGAATGGAGAAGAATGCGTTTGCAATGTCAATAGTGGCATACCACTTTGCTGTCTTGGACTCCAGATCATACTGGAGCTCCAACATGTCTGGAACAGCAGCGCTCAGTGGTGGGGTGACTTCATTCAGGCCGCGATAGTCCACAGTCAGTCTCCATTCTCCGTTAGACTTACGCACAGGCCAGATGGGACTGTTGAAGGGTGAATGGGTCTTGCTGATCACCCCTTGGCTCTCCAGCTCACGGATCATCTTATGGATGGGGATCACAGAGTCTCGGTTCGTCCGGTACTGCCGGCGATGCACTATTGTAGTGGCGATTGACACTTGCTGTTCCTCGACTTTCAGCAACCCTACGACCGAAGGGTTCTCCGAGAGGCCGGACAACGAGTTCAACTGTTTAACCGCCTCGGTCTCCACAGCAGCTATTCCAAAAACACATCTATGTCCCTTGGGGTCCTTGAAGTACCCGTTCTTGAGATAGTCAATGCCCAGGATACATGGGGCATCTGGACCAGTCACAATGGGGTGTTTCTGCCAGTCTTTCCCGGTCAAGCTCACGTCAGCTTCCACCATGGTCAACTCTTGAGATCCTCCAGTCACCCCAGAAATGGAAATAGTCTCTGGTCCCACATGTCCCGAGGGCATTAACGTACACTGAGCGCCAGTATCAACCAAAACCTGATATTTCTGTGGGTCTGACATGCCAGGCCATCTGATTCACACAGTCCAATAGACACGGTTGTCCCGTGCCTCTACCTGGCTAGAGGCAGGGCCCCTCTAACATTCATCTTCATCCTGCCAGTCACCATTTCCCTCTTGTGAATGTCGACAGGAGGAGCCCTCTAGCGGGTCAGATCCCTGCCCGCAGGATAATGGTACAGCACTCACTTTTGCAGACTTTCCCTTTTCTTTCTCCTTCAACTCTTGTACTCGGGCTGCTAGGGCACGGGTAGGTTTCCTGTCCCACCGTCTCATGTCTTCTCCATGGTCAGTTAGGAAGTACCACAACTCAGTTCGTGAGGTCTGTCCGCTCTCTCTAGCTGGGGGGCGTCTGGTTTTCACTGGGGCCATATGGAAATTGTTTCCCTCAGTCTTCTCTTTCAAGTCCGTAGTTAATTCCTTGAGTTCATTAATCATTGTCTCTACAGAGGAGATGCGGGCCTGTAGTGGTCCTTCGATCATACTGTCGTACAATCGAAGTTTGTTTATTACAGACATCACTGGCTCTCGCTTCTCCCCAGCCTGCAAGGATGTCAGGTAACCTTTATGTGTGGACGACCCCATACGTGTGAAGCTCCACCACATCTGTGGTGTACACTTAACCTTGTCAGGATCGTTGGTAGATTGCCCATCCCTTCCAAACAATACTTCCAGCAATGCCATTTCTCTCAGCCGTAGGATTCCTTCTTCTATGGTCTTCCAGCTCTTGGTATAATGATCTGCCTGCAAGGACTCTCTGTAAATGAACCTCTCCCTCACACCATCCAAAAAACGTACCCAGAGAGACAGGGACTTTGATTCCCTCACAAATGCCTCCTCAATGCCCACATCTTGGGCAATAGATCTCAGGAACCTCGCTTCACCGCCATCAAGGTTTACAGCATCACCTGTAGAGTCCCAAACTCGGATCATCCAGGCCAGAACGGGCTCACTCGGACGACGAGCAACGTCTGTCCGTAAATTCCGGAGGTTATTGTACGACAAAGACTCAGTGATGATTTCTGGTTCTGGAGCAGCCATTTGTGGGGACCCTGCCTCTCCATCATCGTCAACTGGGCGAACTGATTTGGCTTTATATTTCTTCCTTTGGATAGGGGCAACCTCTGTTGGCTTGGTCTGCCCCTTAGTTTTGACCTTATCCTGAGTCACCTTGGTATTAGGCATCTTGTTCTTATCTTTTCCTTTCCCCTGGAAGTGTTGCACGGTACCGAGCAACTTCCTGTAGGCAATGGCCAAGGCCCCACATGCAGTTGCCAACTGCCTCTCCATGGATCCATCACGACCTCTCTCCCTCATGGTTTTCATTATTTTTGTAGGGTTCAGGAGTTGTTCAAGGGTGAGCTTCCATGTTATGGGAGCTGAGCAACTTTCTAGGAATTTACCCATGTCCTCCCATAACCCATGCCACTCGAAGTTTTCCGCCCCTGGGACAGGATCCTGAATGCCTTCTCGGTAATTCTTGGCCTTGGCTTGGTATATCAGGTGTACTATAATGGCACAAACTAGGATGAAAAGCCCAACAATTGAAATGTCTCTGACATTTAAAAAGGATTTAAACTTCCCAGAGGCCATTGTGTTGTACCCAAAAGGGAACTGAATAAAGGGTTGGGTGCATGCATTCCCCTGTGAGTCTCCATAGGAATAGGTACCATTATCCTTAAAACCCCAGAGGAAACAGCTTAGGCTAGAGCAGTAGTGCATCCTTGAGGACATATTCCGGATAAAAATCACAGGTGCTGAGTTTGCCGTGTCATATACCCAATGCGCAAACTCAAAGGTACTTATCGCAATGAGGGTACTAGTATCTGAACTGAAATACATTGACAGGTGGGACAGATATCTTGGCATGATTATATACCAGAGGAAAGTAGCAACCCCTGACATCATGGTGCCTACAAGTTCAAAACACGTGTCAATCACACAAGGGGTTCAAACTGCGCGTAACTCACACAAAGGGTAGTTATTCTTTTTCCACCTTTCCTCTTTCCAGGCCCCACGTTGGGCGCCAAGAATGTCGCAGTCTGAGTGAGACTCGACTGTTTGCTAAAGAGGATGAGTTACAAGGTAGACCAAACTCCTCTCTCTCTGCAATTATAATGTCAAATTAAGGGGCTTTACTCGAGGAAAATGTGGAAAAACAGAAGAAATAACAACCCTTTATTAAAAGATATATGTATGTTGGCAAAAACAGTAACAAGAAACAACAATAACAACAACAAGTCTAAATGAATACTCCCCTGTCTGTTAGCACAGTCCTAATTGTGGCCTGTCGGGGATGTTGTTGGATCGCTGGAAGGTGCAGGGTCTGCAGCGCCCTGTTGTGGCCTGCAGGGGGCGTTGTGGGATCACTGGAAGGTGCAGGACATGCAGTACCTGGTCGTGGTCGGCAGGGGGCACTGTGGGATCGCTGGAGGGTGCAGGACATGCAGTACCTGGTCGTGGTCGGCAGGGGGCACTGTGGGTTCTGGTAGTCACCCCGCGGGAAGAGGGGCTGGAGAGAGCGGTCCCGGACCACGTGGGGAAGCCGAGAAGGAGATGGGGGGGTCCTCGCTCCCGTGGGAACGAAAAGGAAGGCAGGCAGTACACTCCCACGGGAACTCACCACTGTCCCAAGTGGCAGGGACTCACCGCAGTCTCAGGTGGTGGTGGTGTCTCAGCAAAAT